AAGCAAGTCATGGTATGGTCGGAAGCTCTACCAGAGTTGTGGGACAAAAAGGTCCCACTGAGACACATTGACCGGAAGGTCTAACAGAGTTGTAGCCTCGAGTGACTAATATGTGTATGTGGTATTTTGGGGAACTCACTAAGCTTCATGCTTACCGTGTTATGTGTTATGTGTTATGTGTTTCAGGTTCTTATTAGGATTTCGGGAAGGCAGCAAATCAATTGTACACACAAGAGAAAAGGGTCACGAATGGGGATCCTGGATTTTGATAATTACTTTTGAAAACTATTTTTGAAATATGTTACGACATCGACACTTGAGATTTTGAAAATTATTATATGTGATGTTGGTAATTTAAATTGAAAATTTTGGTTGAAAATTTACGATGTTACACTCTACGAATAATTCATGCTTTTATTCAACAAGCCAGCAAAGGAAAATTCATTAGAGTCCAAAGCAGCAGACAATAAAGAGGATGAATTGAAGAAAATAATCGATGAAGCTGCGAAAGATCTGGAGAGTGAACCCTTGAATCCAAAAGAACCAGAAGCAGCAAACACTCCACTTCAGGGGGAGGGTTCATCATCAACCTCTACACCTGACTCACATCTCCAAAGGGAAATTTCTTCTCCTAGTATGACCCACGATAGTCTATTCAATGGGGAGAATACAATTCCTGAAATGAAGGAAATATCATCGGTCGAGGGGGTGAGTAAAGATATGAACAATGATTCATATCTACAATCCAAATTCGAAGAGGTGAATGTTGAATTGGATCTAACTTATGATCCAAATTACCCTCCGCTGACCAAACGAACAAGAGATCATCCAAAAACCCAAGTCATTGGCGAATCATCTGTAGGAGTTCTTACGAGATCCCAGCAAAAAATGAAACAAACTATATTATTCTCTAAAGTGGAATTTTTCATGTTTAATTCATTTATATCCAACATCGAACCCAAACTGTTAATGTTGCTCTCGATCATTCTGATTGGGTGCAAGCAACGTAGGACGAGCTCAATGAGTTCGAACGAAACGAGGTTTGGAGGTTGATTCCCACTCCACCGGATGCATCAGTTGTTGGTTTAAAATGGTTGTTTCGAAAGAAGTTGGATGATGAAGGTAATGTAATCAGAAACAAGGCGAGACTCGTTGTTAAGGGATATTTCCAGGAAGAAGGCATTGACTATGAAGAAAACTTCACACTACTTGCAAGGTTGGAATCTGTTCGCATCTTCTTGGCATATGCAACACTCAAGAACTTCAAAGCATTTCAGATGGATGTCAAATTTGCATTCTTGAACGAGGAACTTAAAGAGACAGTGTATGTGGAACAACTACCTGGTTTCATAAACGAGATGTATCCTAATCACGGTTATATCCTAGATAAAGCAGTTTATGGTTTGAAGCAAGCTCCAAGAGCCTAGTACGAAACTCTCACTCGCTTCTTAAAAATGTCTAAATTTAAACAAGGTTCACTTGACCCAACCTTCTTTCGTAAGAAAGAAGGTGACCACTTAATGATTGTCCAAATCTACATTGATGATATTATCTTCGGATCAACTAATCCAAGCTTAACAGTTGAATTCCGAAAGTTAATGGAAATGAAATTTGAGATGAGCTCTATTGGTCCAAATAATGTTTTACTTGGATTAAATATTAGACGGAGTCAGGAAGGTATCTTTATTCATTAGGAAGCTTACACGAAGAATTTGCTTGCTAAGTGTGGGATAGTAGGTTACTCAAAGGTGAAAGTTCCTATGGCATTCAGAATGAAACTTACTCCATCTTTGGATAAACCGGCTGCAGACATGACACTCTATCATCAAATGATAGGTTCTTTAATGTATCTAATTAATAATTGACCATATATCATGTCTTCTATTAGCTATTATGCTAGGTTTCATGTGAATCCTCAAGATCCTCACATGAAGGCTGTCAAGAAAATATTCTGGTATCTAAAATGAAGATCCACACTTGGAATATGGTACCCGTCGAAATCTAGTTTCTTTATGTAAGCATTTTTGGATGCTAATCTTGGAGGATGTGGGTTAGATAGAAAGAGTACAACTAGAAGATGTCAACTTCTTGATGGTAAACTAGTCAGTTGGAAATCCAAAAATCAAGCTTGTGTTTCTTTATCAACAACTGAAGCCGAGTATATTGCTGCTGCCTCACAAACTTGCCAAATCATATGGATTCAAATTCAACTTCGTGACTATGGCATGAATATGAAACAAATTCCACTATATTTTGACTCCTAAAGTGCCATTCTCATATATCACAACCCAGTGCAACACTCAAAGATGAAACACATATTGCTGAGGTATCATTTTATTAAGGATCGTGTGGAAGATGGCAATGTTGAAATACACTTCATGAGATCCACTGATCAATTAGCTGACATATTCATAAAATCCTTGCCTGAAACAACCTTCAATAGAATTCTTCAAGGCCTAGGAATAATGGAAGCTGAATCTATTACGAAACCACTTTCACATTTATAAAGTTACCGTTGTGAATCAGTGTGAACGCTCGCAGTCATTCGCAGTCTTCTTTGACATTGCAAATCGGTTCGAACGCTCATGGTGACTCGCAGTCCACTGTTCATTCGTGGCTCAGATCTTCGTGTATCCTTTGTATGTTATGTATATTATCGTTTATCATAGTTTTGATTTGAATTACTTCTGATTTATTTCTTTTTCAGAAAAACAAAAATACAAAAATATTTTCTTTGTGTTTATTTTTATTTCTTTCATTATCACAAAAATATAAAATACCAAAAACATTAGATAATTAAGAAGCTCTTGAAGGATCACATTTGTAATGACTCTCAGTTCATATGATGGGGCAGGTATAAATCTCTTTACATATGTACTAGCTAAGTGTCCCTTGAAGCATGTTGTTGCATGTTGTTTGTAGCCTCGATGAGTCTATGTTGAAGACTTAATGAATAGATTCTACTAATCGTTTCTTCCCAATCAAGCTACAAATTCACATAAGTCATGAGCTACCTTACTCTTCTCACTTTGAGTTAAGAGTTTTCTGCTTGGTCACTTTCCCATAGCATAGGTACATTTGTTTCTTTGGAACCATATCCACGTTTCTCCATCACTTTCGCATTCATGTTCGTAACCCTTAAGACTCTCATAAATTACCACTGAGGTTTACGGTTATACAACATCTGTGTTAAGGATCTTAGTTTCGTTCAACCATGAACTAAGTGAAACCCAAAATTCAACAAACTTTTATGATTTGATGGTGAGCAATTAAATATTCTAGATTTTTCACCAAGGAACTAACAAAACTCCACTTTCGTGGTTTGTACTATGAAATCTCTTTTTCTTTTGCGAGATCTTAATGAAATGTTCTAGACCTAAGATGTATCTACCCAAAAGATCTAGTTTTAACCTTTTTTTGAGATTTCAACACGAATCCATGTCACTTAAAATAATTCCAAATAGTTACTTTTTCAATTGACTACACTAGTCAAAAAAGTACTCATTTGCACTTTCAAACTTATATCAAGTTTCCTACTCTCTTTGGAGATAGAACCACCCAATAAAACCTTTAAAAGATACATTTCACTATTTCTTAATAAACAGGTGATCGTAATTCAGTGGAGAACCACACAGACACTTCTTAGTCTCTCTTGAATTCAATGGAATAGATCTTTTCCTGAGATCCACTATTTCGTCTCTTGAACAAGACATCACTAAAATCCCACACATATGTATTGCTTTATTTCTTTATCATTGACACACTCTCGCACAAAGATCCTTGTGATTTTCAAAAGTCTGGTTTGTGGCACTCACATTTGTTTTCAGTTTCGCAGTTCAACCGAAGTTTACTTAAAAGTGAAAGTTTGTATCTACATGCGATAGGTGGAATGCAACTTAACTGCGAAAGGGGGAAGATGATGCAGCAATTTCGCATTGAAAGGAATTCAAATAAGCACATGAAATTTGAAACAACATCTACTTTACCACCACCTAACAAGCATACCTAACGTACTAGTTATCAGTCATGTCTTTTTAGGCGACTTTTCAGTGACCAGTAGACCATACATCTTGATTTCTCTCTCCAAACTAATCGTATAAAGGGATTTTGTTGTTCCATTCTTATTACCACTTTCAAAACCCTCAAAGAATTACAGCGAATAAACCTCTATACTATTCATATTCTTCTTCAAGAAATCAATAACGACCAGTTCTTCTGAAACCCCTTTTGTTCAAGATCAATATGCACAGTCGATGCTTCTTACTATCAAGGCTAATCAAAACCTAATTTTAGATATTGATCCTCTCAAGTATGACACCTACATGCTACCCATCGTTGAATGCCTAAAATATTCACCTCTGGTTAAAGCTTTGACCACCTCTGAGATTGTTCTGATGCCTCTCTTATCAAAAGCCTACTCGTCTTCCTGCTACATCAAGGAAAAATAAAAGATCACCTACGAGGTTCACGATAGGAAAACCTTCATCACTAAATCCCACTTTTGCTCCTTACTAGGGTTTGCTCAAACCGATGATATGATCAACCCTGATTCTGTCTCCATCGCTGCAATCATGGAGATTTTCTACCAAATGGGGTACAAAGAACACCTATCTACCATCTCAAAGTTCATAAAACCCGATCTACCACCTCAATGCAATGGGCTCTGTACCCTGTTGTTCAAAAGTTTCTTTGAACATGTGATTGGCTCCGATTGTGCCAGTAAGCTTTCGTGACCATCATGTATGGGATCCAACGGGGTTAATATTGATTTTGGGGTTGTTCTTTTGGCTCAGTTGGTCCAAAGTACCCATTCTACAAACCGACACAGTGAAATTTCTTGTGCTCGCTTATGGATAGTGGTGGCTTAAAGGGAAATTGAAAAGCTCCAAATTCCAGTGATGCAAGACGCTTTCATGTCTTCCATTTCAATCTTCCACACTACAAACATCATTATTGAATACAATTCTAAATTATCCTTTGTTGGCTCCATTCCTAAAGCCATGTTTCGCAATGTTCCTATCGCAAGGAAGATACTTGAAGCTTATAGAAAACTTCCATTTTCAGGTCTTCTTCCTCTAACTCCTGAGATGCAACCCATAATCGATGAAGCTGACAAATCAAAGAAAGTAGGGAAAAAAGGACGCAAGAAATGAGAAAAGAAACAAAGTGCTAAAGAGGGTCCATCTAAACCTACTAAGACCCCCGAGAAATGAAAGGCACAAGCTAGCTCATTTGCAGCTCCTACTCCAATAAAGAAGCGAAAGATAAAGAAGACATCTCGCAGGCCTAGATCTCCAACTGCAAGTGACAATGAAGGTTCTCAGTCGAACTCGGACGTTCGCATTGGAGGGGATGAGCAAATCCAAAACGAAGACACTGCTAGAACTTCACAACCTGAGGTTTCGCAGTCGATTTCTTTGAATCTTGAGGTAACTGTTGAGATTCCTGTGTTGGTTCCTTTTTCTACTAATTTCATTGAGAATGTCTCTATTCTCTCTCTTACTACCATTGTCTCCATGCCCACATGTCACTTTGGGAATTTCGCAAACCCCACCCATTTTCACCGATTCCACCACGACACCAGCAACATCTGTTGAGCCTCCTGTTTCTATCAGTGCATCTAATAAAGGGCGGGAGCTTCAGGTTTCGCAACTTGTCATATCACACTGCCTATTTCCCCTCTTCGCCAAAATGACCCAGATATGATATACGGTGATGATGTAGATGACTTCGTAGGATTCACTTACAGTCTATTCAACATCATGACTAAAAGTGCTGACGAAGCTCCTGTTACGAGAGGGCAACTCAAGGCAATACATGAAAAATTGGACTCACTGCTTCATGCTTCAAAGGCACCATCCACCGATGATTATTCTAAAGAAACGGTCAAGTCTCTTCTTGAGACCCTTACGAAAGAGCACTCTGCCAACCTTGAAAAGATGAACATGGCGGTAGATGCTTCTGCCACTATTTGCAACAATTCGAACGAAAAATTCGATAAACTAATTACTGATGCAAGGGTATTCATGAAAATTCTCCAGAGCTCCTTTGAGCACAACACTACAAAGGCTAACGAAGTCATTTCTAGCCTGGGCTCCTACCTTAAAACTGAGAAGGCGAAACTTCAGGAGGTTCGCACCGGCCTTACAATTGACCATGCTCAGTTTAATTCCTCCATCTCCTTGCAAATATCTAAGCTTCAAGATAATCTTGCAATGGAGAGAAAAATAATGGATGCTCTTGCTATCAAGACTGAAAAGGTGAAAGTCCTGACAGTTAAACTCGAGAATGCTGAGAAACAAGTCAATGATTTGTTATCCTAAAAAGCAGCAATGAAAAGCTATATCGCAGATGTTACTGACATGCTTTTGGATAACATTGAGACTCGAGACTTAATGATTATGATTACGGTGAAGAAACATCTAGCTGAGAAACTAAGGTCCGTCTTCGCCATGATTCATTGACTGGAAGGTGTTCCGGAATCTAGCTCCATTCTGAAACAAGGGGGAGAAGGTATGTCACAAACCAAGAAGGAAGACCCCAAACCTTTAGCCAAGAAAAGTGTCAAAATCGAATCTAAGCCTAAAGGAAAAGAAATTTTTTTCAGTGAAGAACCTATTGTTAACAACAATGAAGACGATGAACCTGATGAAAACAAGCTCAAAAGGAGAAAAGCATGTGAAGCAAAAATGGATGAGTATCAGAGAATAATCCACGAGGTTGAAGTGAAAGAGAAAGCAGAACGAGAAGCTCAGGTCACACTTGAAAGCAGAAAGCTTTTATTTCCAGACTGGACTCTGAAGCAAATTCAGAACAACGCTGCGGATCTGCCGAGTCAATATTGGCTGGAACCAGTTGTGACATTTGAGGTTCAGAATACATAAGATTTGTAGCTGGATCTCCAAATAATTCCAAAATCCTTCAAGTTTCGCTCTTTTGTAAAAGTATCGAATGCCCCATCCACTAATAGTGACGCTGACCATTTGTTCTTCTTGTTCTATCTCAAGCATATAAAGCCACGATACAAAATGTGGTGTTCTAGAAAGATTACTGCATTCAAGGTCACAGGTCCAATCGAAACTGACAGCTTCCCAAATGCAGAGTTCAAGGTTGTGAGAGGTTCTGCTAGTCAGGTTCACAAATTAACTCTCGTAGACTTGCCTTGCCTCAATCCCTATGACTGGATCATGCTTTACAATTTACTGCTGCGAGACGGACAAAAGTACGAGCCCATTATTGCTCACCTCAAAATGAGGTTAGTTTCGTATATTCAAGAGGTAGGCAAAATGGATGTGGAAAGAGTCGTTGTACTACGAAGGAAGCCATCTGTTCTCCATAAAGAAGTTCCAGAAGGTTTTAAGAAGTTGAAACTTGGGAATATATACAAAGAAGGATTGTATGTGGTATTTCAGGCGCGATAACGAAACGATATAGACTTTCATAAGGCATGTTTCTTCCTCCATGATAAATATTTGTACACTACCTCTTGCATGGGGTATATTTTGGACATAGTCAATAAATACAAGGGAAACAGCAAGGGAGACAAAAAGTGGTTTACGAACATGATTCAATGGTACATCCAGGTTCGCAAGGTTCTGCTGATCGTAATTCCAAAAGTTTTTGAAGTGCAGAAGTGAACACGACCTTGATGGACTCTCGCCTTAATTGACACAAAGGGGAAGATTGTTGGGGATATAGTGTTGCATCATTGGGCCTTTTATTTTGTCCATTTTGTAACCAGGTTTGGCCTGTCCACCCATCATTTATTTATAGGGTTATAGTATTAAAGGTGCATGCATGCACCATGTTTTTAAGATTACGGTAATATTATTGTAACCCCAATCATGCCTCTACAATATCAATTCTTCATCAAGTTCTTCTGAGATTGTGGCTTATAATCATTAAGCATATTTTGATCCACTATCGTGTTCTTGTTTTTAAACTTTTCTGAATCTAATCGATCTTTCAAGGTTTAATATACTAACACTATCACAACACTAACACAGAAAGACATGAAGTTCAACAAGGAAGAAAAACAAGAAGCTACATTCCAGAAACTAAAACAAATGTTGTGTAGTGCACCAATCCTATCCCTCCCAGATGGGACAGGAGATTTCATCGTATACTGTGACGCATCAAATCAAGGATTGGGATGTGTATTGATTCAAAGGGGAAAAGTTATCGCTTATGTATCTCGACAACTTAAGGTGCATGAGAATAATTACACTACCCATGACCTCGAATTAGGAGATGTAGCTTTTGCAATTAAAATTTGAAGATACCCAATTGGCCGGAGAACATATAGGTGATACCTTACATACCAACCATAAATAATCCACGACACAACTGAAAAGATTGTGCAAACTAAGGATCGATTAAAGGTCATGCGTGATTGTTAGAAGAGTTATGTTGACATAAGAATTAGTTCTATCGAATATCAACTTAAGTTAGCTCAAGAGCTAAGTAAGGCTATGGGATGATTCATTGAACCTCACGATGTGAACATGTCATTCTCACGATGTGAGATGTCATCCGGACACCTTCCAAAAATAGAAACGCAAATGGAAAGACTATAAGGTAATATAACCATAGCTCACAACATGAGAGAGCCTTGGACATCCTATAAATAACAATCAAGGCTCAATCAATCATTACACCTTCTACTTTCATTCTCTCTCGTTTTCTGAAGGTGGTTCCTTGTTTCGAGCCTGACAATGACGAACTGCTGACCATTTCTATTTAGATTCTATCAAATCACGCAACTAGAGTGAGTTTCACAACCCCAATTTTTAATGTTTTTAGGGGAAAATGTGTACTAAATTTTATCTAAAATTTAATATTATGTTTATACGATAGAATATTTGTATCAACATAAATAGTTATATTAACCGAGATATAGTTATGTTGTATCATATATACCTAGAATATATCTGATATTTTGAAATTATACAACTATATTAAACTTGTTAGAATGTTGTTATCATAGATTTTACTAATATAGACCCGGAGTTATACTCGGTAGTTCTATATACTATGTGTGTTATTGCCTCGGGGTTATACTCGAAAGTTCTATATACTATGTTTGTTATAGCCTCAGAGTTATACTCTGAAGTTCTATATACTATGTTGTGTTATAGCCCCAGAGTTATACTTGGGAGTTCTATATATTATTTTTTAAGTATGTTATTAACATTGGTTTGAAGTTAGGTAAAAGTTGGTGTTACTTCAAGTTATTGTTGTTTTCCTGCCTAAATATTATAAAAATTAAGAGTAATGTTTAAAGCATAGTCTAGTACCATAGGGTTTTAGACATGAATATGCTTTCATTGTTAGACTATAGGATATCGACAAAGTCTACATGAGCTATTTTATTCATCAACTAAGATTGGAGATATTAGAGGAAATCCTCTGACCTGTAAACACTAATCCCATGTGAGCGAGGAAGTTATGTATGAAACTATACGGTTTGACAACCCCACTCGTGGTTACTAGCTACAACCCAACATTTGGAAAGTAAGGAGCTATCCATTTATTTATTTTATTGTGTTCTAGCATTGATAAAGCACGTGGAGTATTTAGATTGTTGGAATACTTTGTGGTACCCTAGGAAAAATCTTTTATGGTATTAATGCTAGAATCGTTGATGGAACCATTGGTGGGATCTTTTAATCAGAGGTATTATATGTACTATAGTAGCGGTTATGGACTGATGGTAGCACAATTTTAGAGACATTATACTTTGTCGATACACAAGTATTAATGTTAAGTACAAGGTTCCACAACACTTATACTCTATGTACAAGGAATTTGTAGGTATTGTACTTATTCATTAAGTAAAAAGTTATACCTAGCATATATACACATATAGAATTGAAATAAGAATTTAATGTAGTAACCTTCCTTGATTTAGGTATATCACATATTTAGTAAGTAAACCATTATACCTAGGATATATACTATATGTTGAAGACAAGTATGAGTCATAAGGACACTGTTAAACTATGAATTATACTTTTGAAACTTGGAAAAAGTACTATTTTACTAAGAGTCAAAACCTGTGATCTCACCAACTATATGTTAATGTATTTTCAAAACACATGTGTTTTCAGGAATTTGATAAGCTGGAATGTTACTCTGTCACACCCCTGAACCAGGACGGCGGAAACGTTCCTGGGCAGATGTGACATCCCCAAAATCTCGGCCAGAAAAGACCGATTTCATTTATGCTTTTTAAACATTTTCAGAGTAAATCCTTTTAGTTTTAAAAGAGATGCGGAATTTGTTCCCAAAAACAAAACATGATAAAATAGATATTTATCAAAACATTTCATAAAGAAATACGATTTCATTTCATAATCAAAAGTCGGGATGTCATGTTCCGATACAGGTCATAAAGCATAAACGATAACATTACAAGACGTTCAACAAATATATACATATACAGACTTGTAAACAAAAACAACTTGATGTTCGCCCATCTTAAGCTCTTGCGCCACTTCCTGTAAAATAAATCAACTGAGTGGGTCAGGCTTGGGAGCCTGGTGAGCATATAGGGTTTTCAACCCACAATAATTATATTTAATTTCAACAATCAACAATAAACCCGATTACCCATTCCCGTTATCCTCACCTTACGTTCCTAAAAATAACGTCTATTATAAGGAACCTATTTCAGGATTTTTCATCGGGACGGACATTACTGCAGAGGGGCTTCCTCAACAATAAGTGTCCTAAAGGCAACCATGTGGGGGATAGAGTACACCGGTGAACACGTCGTTCACAACACCTACAGGTAATGAGCCTGCTAGTGTTCCACAGGACAGTCTAGAATAGTCCGTGGTCGTCATCCATACTCTGCTGAATGACTAGAATAACACCAATAACACCGAGGCCTCTCATCTGTTTATTACACACCAATTATCTACCCATGTTCTACCCAACATATTAGTAGATAAAAATATACATTTTTATACATAGTTTAAAAACCTGTATAACATGCTTTAAGCAATACATATTCCACATAACAGATGAGGCATACACACATAACACGTATTTCATAGAGAATACATCAGATCTGTAAGATAGAAGAGAGTGAATATACACTCACACGTATAACAACCAAATATATACACATAACACGTATTTTATAGAAAATACTTCATAATATTGTGTTGGAATGAAAATAACTACACACTCACTTGATCAAAAGATGATCGGGCAGCACTACGGCTTGCAGAAGAGGTGTTTCTCCGTAGATCTGGAAGATCTTCACAAAACCGGGCTCCTCGCGGGCAGCGTTTCGGCTCGGGAATAACGCTCTTCGGGATCCTCGGGGCTTCGGATCTTACTTCGGGGCTCGGGAATATTACCGGGGCTTTGGGGCATAAACGGCACGCAAATCGAGGCAAAACTTAGAGAGAGGGAAGAGTTTGAACAAGAGAAAATGGCTGAATTCGAGTTCTATTTATAGGCTGCTGGGTCTGGGATTACGCGGGGCGTACTCAAATTACGCGGGGCGTACTCAGTACGCGGGGCGTACTCGGGTTACGCGGGGCGTACTTTGACGTCACTGCGTGCGTCGACTGGTGGCACTCGAGTATTGGTCAGACAAGTTGCATCCGACTGAGTACGCGGGGCGTACTCAAATTACGCGGGGCGTAATTGACTTGTCAAACTTCTAAATTGCGTAACTTTCGCATACGAGCTCCGTTTTCGACGTTCTTTATATCCACGCGAAGGTCAGACCATACTCTACAACTTTCATTTAGACTCCGTCGGCTAATTTTGACTTTTATTTTTATTATTTATTTTTAGAAGGCCGGGACAGAAAAACTTCGTTATAAATTCATAACTTCTTCGTCTGACGTCCGTCTCGCCTAACTTCATCGTTTCGCTACTAAAACGAGATCTTCGTTCTCATTTAGATTGTTTCGGCTAAAAACCGCTCGATCTCAAATCGAGTATTCGGGCTGCATACTGCCACGTCGAAACTTCAGAAAATCATAACTTCCTCATACGAAGTCAGATTTGGGTTCCTTTTATGCCTTTTATGCATGCTCTCGGTTTAACGAAATCTACGACTTTCGTTTAGATCGCTAAGGCTAAATATCGCTCTATCTTAAATTCATATTTTACGTCACTCGCGTCGTACCGGTTCTGTCTCGAAACTTCGACAGGTCATAACTTCTTCGTTATAACTCGGATTTTGGCATTCCTTATATCTCCGGAATCCTTGTTTCGACCACTACAACTTTATGCAAAGATGTCGGGCTTATCTCACACTTAAATTTTGACGCTTATTTTATTCTTAATTCATTAAATTATAAAATTAAGAAAATACACACATAAATCACATAATTCAAATAATTCACAAATAATACATTCTTATTATTCAAGTTGAGTTACAAGGTTAACCTAGACT